GTTTGGATGCTGCTGGTGTCATGGGGGAAACCCCTTGCTCTTAGCACCCCACTTTGCCCTCCTACCACTAAATCCAAAAACCCCCGTGGGGGACAAGCAGAGAGAGCCTCCAAGCATGAAAGCCGGCTGGCTCATCCCCAGCTTCGAGTCCTTCTTTTGCTGGTGCTCACTGAAGAGATGCAAGCACGTGCTGCCTAAGGCGAAGTTCTTGGCTTGGAGTTTTGCTCCCATGAAGGCCTTTGCCGGAGAATGAGAAGGGAGGGCAAAGAGGCAAATGGAGGCCTGGGAACCTTATGCAGAGGGTTTCTCCCACGTGTGCTCAGAACTGCAGCTGCTTTCCTCGCTGAGCCCAGGGCTCCCAGCCCTGAGGCCTACCTCCGAGGATGGGAGGGGGCAGCAGGCGGGAGCACCAGCAGGGAGCCCTGAGCCAGGGCTGCAGGACTGCATGGGGGACCTCTTAAGGATGCCCGAGGTCAGCAACCTGCCAACTCCTATAAGTAGATCTAATGATGACCGCCTAGTTCAAAAAAGAGGATTTAACCCAAAGCCGATTTAGCAGAGCACCTTTCTAGACGGCAGGGATCCCTAGGAGGGACTTTGGAGGAATGTGCTAGAGGCTCCCCTCCTCCCCCCCCCCCCCCCCCCCAATTCCTCACATCCAAGAACTCAGATGCACCAGCATAAGCCATGAGGATCGTCCTGGGTTGTTCTATTTATAATGAAGTGTCTGCCAGAGCGCGCCCACATCACACACTGTAGCTCTCAGAGCTGTGCAGGGAAAAATCACTGACATTAAAACCCCCACAAATTCTCATCTAACATGTAAATGTTTCAGGACACAGACTGATGATCGAAGAATCGCAAAGCTCATTAAGGTAATTTTTTATTTACTTATTTTCTGGTGGGTTGTGAGACTTGAATTTGGTCTGGGCACTGTCCCTGAGCTCTTCTTTTGCTCAAGACTAGCACTCACTCTACTGCTTTGAGCCACTGTTCCACTTCTGTTCTTGGTTTTTTGTTTTTTTTTCCCCCTGGAGGTTAATTGAAGAAAAGAGTCTCACAGACTTTCCTGCCCAGGCTGGCTTTGAACTGCGATTCTCAGATCTCAGCATCCTGAGTAGTTAGGATTACAGGCATGAGCCACCAGCGGTTGGCTTATTAAGGTAAATTTCCAAAACACATTTTGACTTTGACCTAATTTCTAGATATCAGTTTTACTCAGGAGAGAATATTTTTGTAGTTGTTTTAATAGTATTAAAAATCAGCTCCAAAAAGGGGATTGCATTTGCCCTTCTAGTGTTGATGAACATGAAGTTGGTAAACAAATACATTTGGGACATCTGTCTAATAAATATAAATGGTCTATATTGAACAGGTGCAGTAGCCCATGCTTATAATCCCAGCTACATAGGAAATGGAAATAGGAGGATCTCTCCCTATTCAAGGTCGGCGTGTGGGTGGCAACAACAAAGTGAGACCCTATACTAGACAAAAGCATGAGGTTCAATCTGAAAACTAAAGTAAAATGAGTGGGAACTGTGGCTCCAGTGGTAGAGTGCTTGCAAGTGCAAGGTCTTGAATTCAAACTCTGGTATCTCTCTCTCTATCTCTCTCTGTCTCTGTCTCTGTCTCTCTCTCTCTCACACACACACACACACACACACAAGAAAAAAGACAAACTCCCTATAAACTATAAAGCTATCATGTTAGTATTTTCAGTTACTCTTACAAAATACAAAATTAGGAAAACAAGAAAACAAAAGAAACAGAGGAGCTAAGTAGTCACTCAATCAGCACATACCACTGTTAAATCAACTCGAAGTAAACTAGGACCTTTAGCTTAGGCAGGAAATTGTAGAAAAGACATTATCTTATTCTAAAGCAGTTTACATAGTGATCAAAAGCAATTCACCCAAGTCTTCTTTAAAAGCATTTCATTTTAGATATTATTTATTTATCTACCTATTTAATTAATTTATTTTTGTGTTTCTGAAGATCAAACCCAGAGCTACGTAATTATTCTGCCACTGAGACACATTCCTGTCCCCATTTCAGATCACTTAAAAAGTCATTATCAGTTGGATGCCAATGCTCATGCCTGTAATCCTAGCTACTGAGGAGGCTGAGATCTGAAAAGCATGATTGAAAGCCAGCCCATCAAGAAAGTTCCATTGAAAGCCAGCCCATCAAGAAAGTTCATGAAACTCTTATCTCCAATTAGCCACCCAAAAGCAGGAAGTGGAGCTGTGGCTCAAGTGGAAGAGTGATAGTTTGGGCATAAAAGCTCAAGGACAGTGCCCAAGTTTAAGCCTCCAGAAGTAGCATATGCATGCATGCATGCACGCACAAGCGCCCGTGCACACACATACACAGACACACACACACACACACACAGAGTAATATTGAACAAGTTGTTACATTTTTTACCCTTGACCACATTCCAACATAGTATCTAATCAGATGATGGTCTGGTATGTATGATATGTATATGACATGTGTATACTATATGCAATATCGCTCCTCAACAGTAGCAGGATTTGAATTCAGGTCATCATGCTTGCTTGCCTTCCTTTAGCTGGCATTCTGCTACTTGAGTCTCATTTCCAGCCTGGCTTTTCGCTGATTATTTTGGAGGTGGAGTCTCTTGTACTTTTTCTGTCTGGGCTGGCTGTGTACTGTGATCCTCAGATCTTAACCTCCTGAGTAGCTAGCATTACATACAGGCGTGAGCCACTGGTGCCTGGTTGATATATGTAATTTATATTGTCAATTTTTTTTTTTTGCTGGCTCTGTTGTTTGAGGTTGGAGAGTTCTTAAATACTCACAGGCAGGATTTATTCTTACTGGGTACCCCAACGTGTCAGCCCTGGTGATCTATTTGCTCAAACACAAGGCCTGTAAGCCTTAGCTTCCAGGAGCTTCTGAGTAACTCAAAGCAGACATAAATTAGGAATACAGCCTCTAACGCCAGCCTCTGGCCACATTCCTATTTCTGTTTCTTCCAGGATGTTCCAAACCCAATAAGTAAATCTTCCAACAAGAAGGCAAATCCTTTACAAATACAACCTGCTCAGTTTCATTCTTCCATTTAGTCTTAGTATTGGTTATTTGCTTTTTTTCCTACTTGGTCCAAGATGGGACTTGAACTCTCTAAGTGACACTTTCAGCTCATTGGCAGGTTCCCTACCACCTGAGCCACACCTCCAACCCACTTTACTCTTAGTATCATAGCTTTTCTAGTCTATAAAGTAATCTAAAAACAAAACAAAAAACCTCTCCCCCCACCTCTTTTTCTCCTTTCCTTCCTCCCCCCTCCAACTCTCTCTTCTTTGCCCTGAGTTCTTTTGCTCAAGGCTAGTGCTCCACCATAGCACCACTTCCAGTTTTCTGGCATTTAACTGGAGATAAGAGTTTCACAGACTTTGTTGCCCAGGCTGGCTTCAAATCTCAATCCTCAGATCTTCAGCCTCCTGAGTAGTTAGGATCACAGGCATGACCCACCAGTGTCTGGATCCTTTTTTTTTTTTTTTTAGTAACAAAGTAGATAATAAAGCCAGAATATATAAAGCTTTTCCCCAGGCCCTGTCAGTTTGCCAGCCCTCATCACGGATGCTAAAATGCTTGCTAAAGCAAAGCATTCCATTCAATGTCATTGGTTTTAAAGACTGAAAGTCGAAGTAAGGGAAAGGAGAAATGAATTGAAAAGGTCTACAGAATAGTTCAGTAGCAAACCTCCAAGCCTTTTGAACTTGGGGTGGGCATTTCCTATATGGCAATTTCTGGGTTGAGGAAACAGAATACCTGGAAGAACAGATGGAGAGACTCCAACTATTTTAGCTTCTTTTGTTTCTGTGAGTTTTTTTTTTTTTTAAAGCATTTTAACAGGTATCCATTCTTTAGAAAGTTAAATAAGTAGTAATTTATACACAACCAAATATGATTTTTACACTGAAATCAAGGATGAATGGCATTCCCTTACAATGGTAAAGTTCAAGAAGTTGATGTTCATTCGTTTTTTTTGTTTTGTTTTTTGGTTGGTCGTGGGGCTTGAACTCTGGGCTTGGGAGCTGTCCCTGTGCTCTTCAGCTCAAGGCGAGTGCTCTACCGCTTGAGCCACAGCGCACTTCCGGTTTTCTCCTGGTTTATTAGAGATAAGAGTCTCACGGACTTTCTTGCCTGGGCTGGCTTTGAACCGAGATCCTCAGATCTCAGCCTCCTGAGTAGCTAGGATTACAGGCGTGAGCCACTGGCGCCCGGCTTGGTGTTCATTCTTGTGCCACAGAGTCACATCTGTAATCCCAGCTACTCTGCAGACAAGATCTGGAGGCTCACAGTTCAAGAAAGTCCATGAGATTCTTCATCTCTTTAACCAACAAAAAGCCAAAAGCGCAGGTATGGCATAAGTGATAGAGTACCAGCCTAGCAAGTGTGAGGCTGTGAGTTCAAACTCCAGTCTTTTTAAAAGAAGACCAAAGGTAAATTATTTAAAGTAGAAAGCCATTTTTAGGAAGAATCTGAAAATGTAGATACTTCCCTAATCAATTTCAAATATGAGCTTCCTGGTTTGCTTTGTGATTTCATATCTATTAACATCCTTAGGGTTCATGTCTATAAGCCTAGCTGCTCAGGAGACTTAGATATGAGGATCACTGTTCAAAGCCAGCCCAGGCAGGAAAGTCCATGAGACTCTCATCTCTGATTATCCAGGAAAAATAAAGTCAGAAATAGAGCTGTAGCTCAAGTGGTAGAGCACCAATCTTGAGCAAAAAGAAAAGCTCAGGGACAGTGCCCCAGGTCCTGAGTTCGAGCCCCAGGACCTGAGTTCAAGCCCCAGGACTGGGAACATGGCCCTCTATTCTTGTAATCATCCCAGGAAAAGCCTGTCTCTGTCTCTGTCTCTCTCTGGTCACAAGCTATTCAAAAGCTGGAATTCACCCTTGGGCACCTGTCCACAGGCCCCAGGGACAGGAGCCTGACCCCCGAGCCCTCCCCCAGGCTACCTCTCCCGCTCCTGCTCCAGCAGGTTGGTGAAGTCGTCGCTCTTGTTCATGTAGTCCGTGTGCTTGTGCTTCTCCGTCTCCAGCTCGTCCACCGTGCGCCGGTGACACTTCTCGGCCAGCAGCAGCTGCTCAAGCATGCGCCGATATGTCTCCCTCTGCTTCTCCTCCAGCCTGTCCAGCTGCACCAACAAAAGCAGCACCAAAGCTGAGTATTTGCTCTCATTTGCACACAACTTTCTAAGGAGTCCATTTTCATTCACCCAGTGATGTATGGATGGAAAAGGGAGAACACTGAATGGGATATCTCTGCCCTTTCGGTGTCATTTTCTCTGGCTGGCCTCCAACCTGTATTCCTCCTCACCTCAGCCTCTTGAGTGCTGGGATTACAGGCATGCACTACAATGCCCAGTTCATAGTGCTCCAGTTTTGTATCTTCTGGCCTTCTGATCTCTTTTCTATAGGTACAGGTAGGGCCATTCGATTTTCAGGACAGGCTCTTTCATTGTTTTAATGAGATAGCGCAAAGCCCGTGTACTCACAAAGATAGTGCATTATGTTCCTCTTGATCTCAGAAACATGAGGCAGTTACATACACCTCCCATAAATACCACCACCATCCTCTTATTTTAAAGCTTTTAGCCATATGCATTTCTAGGAAGGGCATCTGAAGAATCCAAAGTTTCTCTCTCTCTCTCTCTCTCTTCTCTCTCTCTCTCTCTCTGGGTTCCTGGTGACCACACTAGAGTGGTGAGATCATTGTTGTAGGGCTGAGCATCAGAGGATTTTTATCCTCCCCCCACCCCCACCTCTGCCCCCATGCTAGTAGCAACTGGTCTAGTGGTGACAATCCACTGTCACCTCCCTGGGTGAAACCACTGCTCCTGGTGAAAAACAGATTCATTTATAATCCATTCTCAATCCCACCACCCCATGCCTAAAATCCACAGGGGCCACCTCCCATGGCACCACCATCAGAGCTGGTCCCCTCGGGTTTTCATTTGCCCTTTGGTTATATGAGGGATCAGACCCACACGATTAGCTCATATCTGTAATCCTAGCTACTCAAGAAGCTGAAAACTGAGAATAAGGGTTCAAAACCACCTTGGACAGGAAAGTCAGTAAGATTCTTATCTGCAGGTAGCTCAAGTGGCAGAGTGAAAAAGCTAAAGGACAGTGCTCAGACCATGAGTTCAAGCTCCAGGACAAGCACAAAGAAGAGAAAGAGAGGACAGAAGGAGAGAGAGAGAGACAGTGAGAGAGAGCGACAGAGACAGAGACAGAGAGACAGAGACAGTGAGAGACAGAAAGGGAAAGAGAGAGAGAGAGAGACAGGGAGAAAGGAAGGGAGGGAGGGAGGGAGGGAGGGAGGAGGAGGAGGAAGGGAGAAAGGGAGGAAAGGAAGAAAGGGAGGGAGAGGGGGCTGGGAAGGTGGCTCAGTGGTAGAGCGCTTGCCTTGTATGCCTGAGGCCCTGGGTTCGATTCCTCAGCACCACATAAGCAAAAAGAAAAAAGCCGGAAGTGGCGCTGTGGCTCAAGTGGTAGAGCACTAGCCTTGAGCTGAAGAGCTGAGGGACAGCGCCCAGGCCCAGAGTTCAGGCCCCACAACTGGACCCCCTCCCCCCCCCCAAAAAAAAAGAAAAGGAGGGAGAGAAGGAAGATCGTTCTATAACTTCACGGTATACTCAGTTGTGAAAGGATTGAATTCTGGGGCCCAAAGTAAAAGAGGGGTTGCTCCTATCATCCCTGGGATCCTCCTCCCATCCCTTTGCTTAGCAGCCTACATCCCAGTGGAGAACAGGGAGAAGCCCATGTTAATTAGCAGCTGATGGTAACTAAGATGTCTTCTGATTTCTGCCCAGGGTCTTAAAGCAACAGTTCAAGAGCTGTCCGCTTTGGAAGAACTCCTTAAGAAGCCTCTAGGCTCTTTACCGATGCGATTTTCACCACATGTGATGCACTTTGTCACGCATTACAGAAGCATCATCAGAACTTTTGTCCTTTCTGATCCTTTCTACTTTTTGCAAAAAGATTTTGAATTCTGGAGCTAGGCACAGGTGGCTCACACCTATAATCCTTGCTACTTAGGAGGCTGAGATCTGATGATCATGGTTCAAAGTCAGCCCAGGCAAGAAGGTCCCTGAGACTCTTTTTTTTTTTTTGGTTGGTCAAGGGGCCTGAACTCTGGGCCTGGGTGCTGTCCCTCAGCTCTTCAGCTCTACTGCTTGAGCCACAGCGCCACTTCCAGCCTTTTCTGCTTATGTGGTACTCAGGAATCGAACCCAGGGCCACATGCATGCAAGGCAAGCACTCTACCACTAAGCCACCTTCCTAGCCCTCCCCAAGACTCTTATCTCCAATTAACCACCAAAATCTGGAAGTGGAGCTGTGACATAAGTGGTAGAGTACTGGCCTTGAGTATAAAAGCTCAGGGACAGTGTCTAGGTCCAGAGTTCAAGCCTTAGGGCCAGAAAAACAAAAACGAAAAAAGACCGGGAATATTTGGAGTACACCTTTTGTTTCTTCATAGCCTAATAACTTATTTGAAGTTTGTGTTTAGAAAATGAAACAGAGTATATATAGCTCAGCTTCTTCCTCCCTTCCTTCCTCCCTTCTTTCCCTCCTTCCTTCCTTCCTTTTCTTTCTTTCTTTTTTTCTTTCTTTCTTTCTTGTACTGGGGATTGATTTCAAAGCCTCTTTCTTTTTTTCCTTCCTTCCTTCCTTCCTTCCTTCCTTCCTTCCTTCCTTCCTTCCTTCCTCTCTTTCTCTCCTCTCCTTCTCTCCTTCCTTCCTTCCTTCCTTCTTTCTCTCTCTCTCTCTCTCTCTCTCTCTCTCTCTCTCTCTCTCTCTCTCTCTCTCTCTTTCTTTCTTTCTTTCTGGTACTGGGGATTGAATTCAAAGCCCCTCCTGAGTACAGCTAGGATTAAAGGTATGAGCCATTGGTGCCAGGATTTTTTTTTTAGTCTTGCCAGATATATACATTGCTCTGAAGGCCCAAACTTTCCCTGGGGTCCTTTGAACACTTCGGGAATCGTTAAGGGAAGAAGCCAGTGTTTTGAATTGGACAGTGGATAGTGCATTGGACGTGTGCAGATGCAACAGCAGGGCCTGGGCTGGCAGGAGCAGGCCTGAGCCTTGACACTTTCTGCCTGTCAGGGACTTCGGTTGTTCAGAGTGTTTGCAGTCTTGGCAGTCTGGGCTGGAGGAGGTAGTTTGTATGCTACTCACACCCACCTCTAGCCTATACCAGGTGACCACATCAGGAAGACAGTCTTGCGGTCTCTGGAGTGTTAGTTTGTATGTGGAGTTTCTTAGGCAGAATATTAGACCCAGACTTTTAGCACTAGGGACAATAAGTTCTGCTAAGATACAGTAGTGTGAGACTCTAGCTCCTATGTTCAATTCTGCTTAGAATACTTCTAAACTGAGAAGAGGACAATTGGAGTTTTAGTGTAAAATGTAACTCAGACAGGCATACAGATATGTGTTTAGGTTGTTCAAACTGTAATTATAATGTGATTTTTAAAATGGCGTCTCAGCCAGGCACTGGTGGCTCATGTCTGATCATCCTAGTAACCATGAGGTTGAGATCTGAGGATCTCAGTTCAAAGCCAGTCTGGGCAGGAAAGTCCAGTAAGACACCTCTCTCCAGTTAATCATCAAAAAAGTCAGGAGTGGTGCTATGGCTCAAGTGGCAGTCCACTAACCTTGAACAAAAACATTCAAGGACAGCACCTAGGCCCCAAGTTGAAGCTTGAGGACAGACATTCTCAGAAAAGAAAGACTTTTCTAACAAGAGAGCATTTGACTATAGGACCTGGACACAAGTAGCCTGGGCCCATAATTCTAGCAGCTTGAGAACATGAAATTAGGAGGATTATGGTTCTAGGCTAGCTCAAGCAGAAAAGTCTATGAGACTCTGCAGTCATGAGAGGAAGCTCGATGCAGTGGCCTATACCACCCCAGAGACCAGGGGAAGCCCAAAAGTAGATGAATCACCTCTCAGGTACACACAATCCAGGAGAAAGGGAGACCCTACCCTAAAGTTCACCAGTGAAAGCCAGTGCTGGGCATGTGGTTCAGCAGTGTCATCCATCCAAGCAAGTGTGAAGTCCTGGGTTCTAACCCCAGTACTGCCAAAAAAAAAAAAAAGATGGATCTCAGATCGTCTTGCCAGAGTTGTCTCATGGTAAGAGCACACCATGGGCGACTTGCCGCCTAAATTAGAGAATTCTGGAAGCTGCTGTCTGTCCTGAAATCATCTAAAGCAGATCCTGTCTCAGAGATCTGTTAAACTGAGCTGTTCCAAAGGCTTCAAGCAAGCGAGAAGTTAGAGGATCAATTGCTCCAGACTTTTGTTCATTTTTGTGCTATATTTTATCCATTCATCATACTAATTTCATAGCTATGGATTTTTTACATAAATTTTGGGGAGTCAAAATGACTAGATCCTTGCCAGGTGCTGGTGGCTCTCACCTGTAATCTTAGCTGCTCAGGAGGCTGAGAGCTGTGCCTGTTTGACTTACATTTTACATTGAAACTACTAATTGTCCTGTTCTCATCTTAGAAGTATTCTAAGCAGATCATGGTTCGAAGCCAGCCTGGGCAGGAAAGTCTGTAAGACTCTTATCTCCAATTAAATCACAGAAAAAAAAAACACCTGGAAATAGAGCTATGGCTCAAGTGGTAGAGTGCTAGTCTTGAGCAAAAGGACTTCAAGGACAGTGCCCAGGCCCACAGTTCAAGCCTCAGAAACAGCTTTTTTTTTTTTTTTTTAAAGGCTAGATCCATAAACTAGAACTCTGACTAGGCACTGAAGTCCTAAGAGACCATGTAAAGTACGGTGTCTTGCTGGGTGAGGTGTGCATTCCTATAATCCCTGTATTCAGAAAGCTGAGGCAGGAAGATTACAAGTTTGACTCTAGCTTGGGCTTTGCTTTGTAATTAGTTCTTTTTTTTTCTTCAAAGAGCCAAGCACCAGTGGCTCATGTCTGTAATCCTACCTAACCAGGAGGCTGAGATCTAGGGACAGAGGTTCGAAGGCAGCCTGGGCAGGGAAGCCCACAATTAAGCCAGAAGTGGAGTTGTGGCTCAAGTAGCAGAGCACCTGCCTTGAGCAAAATAGCTCAACGTCCAGCTCACACACATACAAAAGTGTATTTTACTTTTCTTCAGAAGATAAAATAAGCTATGGTATCATAAGTAGTTAAGAATAACAGTCCCTAATTTCTAATAGAATCTCATATAAAATGATAAAATCTATCCTGGTTGGAATTCCTTTCATCCCAAAAGATTGCCCTAAGTATTGAGTAAGATTCTCCCAGAATCAGTCATTGTATTTTGCAATAGAACTCTTTGATTATAACAGTCTCCAAGATGGCTTCACAATCATAAATCTAAGTAATAACATCAATTAAAATTTAAGTTACCAGTTTGATAGTAATTGTGACTAGTCATGGCTAAAACTGACCAACACTCCCCCCCCCCTTTTTTAAAGACATTATTCTTTCCTAGAGAAATAAAACAATGATGTACTTTAAAGGGCATGATCACATGGGAAAAAATGTATGCCAACCTTTAAAAATGTAAAGTCAAAGCTCCGGAAATTCTTGCAACGGAAACTTCTCCACTCCAAGCCCCAGGCTTATTTAATTGGTGTATCAAGGAGTCTTGGGAAGCAAGGGCTGAAGCATGGGGCTGGGAGGCTTGGGGGTTCTGGGGACCGAGCTGGGGCGCTGATTTTACCTCTGAGATGGGTTTCTCATAGACATCTTCTCCTATGGACTTCTCCTGAGCCAGGAGGGCATCGCGATGCAGCACTCGCAGAACTTTCTCGGGCTCCGCAGAACCGTAATGAGCCTCCAGAACCTCGGGCTTGGTTTTCTCTGTCTTCAACATATGGATCACATCTTCCCTGGCCTGCGGTGGGAAGGAGAAAGGTGAGATGGCGCTGGCTTGCTCACTCAGCACTGAGCTGATCCAAACGCATCCCCAGCTCTTAAAGCGATCGACAAACTCACGGGGTATGCTGTTCTTTCTTTTTTTTCTTTTCTAACCCACAGCAGATTGGCAAGCAGATATTCTGCTTCAGGTTGCTAGGAAGCAGGCAAGCAGAAAAGGGACTTGTGCTAATATTAACTGTATAAGATTGCTTGATGCAAGTCGCGATGATGTGAACGAGGGGTAGGCAGGGCTGGTTTGGGGATCTCTCACCTGTACATGAGGTCAAATGCAATCCAAAACGTTCTAGTGTATGTGTATGTGTGTGTGTGTGTGTGTGTATGTACGCGTGTGTGTGTGCGCATGCGCACGCGCATAAGCATGCACACACACGCATGCACGTGTTTTGGTGCAGTGGCTTGAATTTAGAGCCTTGAATTCTGTCTCTTAGTTTTTGTGCTCCAAGCTGGTGCTCTGCCACTTGAGCCACTGCTCCATTTCTGGCTTTTTGCTAGTTAATTGGAGATAAGAGTCTCTCAGATTTGTCTGCCCAGGCTGGCTTTGAATCATGATCTTCAGATCTCAGCCTCTTGAGTAGCTGGGATTCTAGGCATGAGCCACCAGTGCCCAGCTTTTGATTTCTTAGTACAACTTTAACATCTTGCTAAAGCTCCCAAGAGAACCACATGGTAGCAGGTTTCATGAGGGAGAATCTCTTTGGTTTCTATCACATAGCACACATACATCTGGATGTACTTTGTACTGATTCCTTGTGATGATATTTTTAGTCATGGCAAAGCTGACATTTACTGAATGCACCCCATCCACACATATGCTGGGAGCTGTTTCTTGTTATGATGATGGGTAAATTTTCTGACTGCATTTCAACGAGCTGCCCAGGTACTGGTGGATCACGCCTGTAATCCTAGCTACTCAGGAGGCTGAGATCTGCAGATTGTGGTTTGAAGCCAGTTGGGGCAGCAAAGTCTTTAAGACTCTCCTCTCCAATTAACCACAAAAAGCCAGAAGTAGAACTGTGGCTCAAGTGGTAGAGCACCAGCCTTGAGTGAAAAAGGCTAAGGGACAGCTCCCAGGGCCTTAGTTTGAGCCTCAGTACCAACCCCTACCCCCCAAAACAAGAATTGATGCCATTCTTGCAGACCCCTCCTTAGTCCCTGAGAAAGTAAGCTGTGTGCAAAAGAGCACGGCTGGCCCCTGAGTCCTTCTGGCTTCCTACCTTGCCAATTACTGTCTCTCCCTACTCTCTTCCTCCATTATGGCCAGCACCACGTTGTGATGTCATCAAGGGGCCCTCACAGAGATGGAGCTGGTGGGGCTTCCCTGCACATCTGTCCACTGAAGGACTCTCTCAACTTTATAAAAGACCCAGCCTCGAGGATGTTGTTAGAGCAGCAGAACACAGACAAATACAGTTAAGAGACATAGTCAGTTAAGAGACGTAGCAACCAAACTCAAACAGGAACCCTTGACATGATCCAATCTAAACTTCCCTCCTTGGTGCACAGGCACGTCTTTCCCGGTCCTTACAAACATGTCAGCATTGTTTCTTTTTAAATCACACTCACACCTGAGGTGAACTTTTTGTTTCGGTTAAAGCTGAAAACTGGATCATGAAAGAAGAAACTGGCGGTTTAGTGACTTCTGGAGTGAAGTGAAATTTAGAATCACGTTGGAAAGGGAGAAAATGGTGATGCTAGAAGGCTGGTAAGATGAAAGTCTCCAGAACAAACTTCTTCTTTTTGTTGTTGTTGTTGTTGTTTCCATCTCTAAATCAGAAGTAAAGGCTCTCTTTGGAGCTTACATTTTAAGTGTGTGAAGTGTAAAGATTTATGAGGAAGGCATAGAATGTGGTGTCTTTTGAAAAAGAACTAATGGAGCTTAGCTGGGTGTGGCAGCATGTACTGTCATTCTAGCTACTTGGGAGGCTAAGTTAGGAGGATTGTGAGTTTGAGACCAAACTAGGAAATATAGTAAGATCACATTTCACAGACTCAGTCACATTTCCGTTAGACTCACAACAGAACTACTAGTCAGCCAGTTTCCATTCTGAAGAAGCTGAGTTCTTCCCTTTCCTCTCCTTTCTTTTTTCTCTTTTCTCCTTCTTTCTTTCCTTCCTCTTTCTCTCCCTTCCTTCCTCCTTCTCTTCCTTCCTCCTTTCCTCCCTTCCTTTGTGCTAGTACTGGGGCTTGAATTCAGGACATGGACACTCTCCCTCAGCTTTTTTACTCAAGGCTTGGTGCCCTCCCACTTGAGCCACAGTACTACTTTTGGGTTTTTGCTGATTAATTGGAAATAAGAGTCTCGTGGACTTTTCTGCCCAGACTGGCTTTGAATGTGATCCTTAAGATCCAGACTCCTATTGCTTACTTATAATCCTAGCTACACAAGAGGCTGAGATCTGAAGATTGGGGTTCAAAGACAGCCCAGGAAGGAAAGTCTGTGAGACTCTTATTGCCAATTAACCAGCAAAGAGCTGAGCTGGAGGCATGGATCAAGTGGTAGAGCACCAGCTCTGAGCAAGAAAGTGAATAAGTACAAGTCTTGAGTTCAACCCATAGTACTGACAAAAACAAAGAAAACAAACATAACATGGACATAAAATTTGTGTCCTGGTATATTAGGAGAGGCCTGGGTTTTAAGAGATTCAAAATTAATTCCAATTTCATGCGGTTCCAGTTGTACTGTGTGATTTGCACAAGTTGCTAACAGCACTTTTTGATTGCTTTTATCATCTATGAAGTAGAATTCCTAATAATTTCTAAATTATTGGTGGGATGTAATCAGATAAACATGTGAAAAAAGCATATACACATGTAAGATGTAGAATTTGGCATATTATGCCATCATTAGATGAGTTTTTGCACAAGGAAAGAGGAATTTTCTAAGATATATTTTCTCTAATCAAATATAGCATGGACGATTGATAATGTTTAACTGTTTCGATATTTCACAATTTTCTCTCTTCTTTTTTGGGGGGCTATGGGGGACAGTGCAGGATTGAATTTAGGGCCTGGAGCTCACTTGACTTGTTTGCTCACAGCTGGCACTCAATCACTTGAGTCTAGCCTCCAGTCCAGTATTTTGCTAGTTAATTGAAAATGGAGAGTCATGGATTTTTCTGCCTGAGCTAGCTTCAAACTTTAAGTCTTCATGTCTCAACCTTCTGAGTAGCTAGAATTACAGGCCTGCGCCTCCAGCATGTGGCTGTAAGAATAGCTTTTCAGAGAAAAGGAAAGGTGACATTGTCAAAAAAACAACAAAAAGGTACTCTTTACCTGATTTATGCAAGTGTAACCCCTCTGTACATCACCTTTATAATAATAAAAAAATTAAAGAAGAATAGTTTCTCAGGACCAAGTGTAGTAATTCATGCCTGTAATCTCAGCACTTGGGAGGCTGACACAGAATTGAGTTCAAGACTCAGACTTGGCAACATAATAAAAGCAAAAGAATATTCTTTCCAAAAAGGAATTTTAAAACCAGAGCAGCTTCAGAAATTATGTAATTACCCTGACTCAGTTTCCTGGTGTGGAAAATGGAGACACTGGTTCTTCTGTGTTTAAGGGACTTTGTTCAGCTTTAATTTCACTGGTATTTATCTTCTTAGCCAATCTGCTTATGCTCTACACCTATACGCCCAGCAGTGAGAGGCTGAGACAGAAGGTTTGAGTCAGACATTGAAAGCTTGTCTAAAAACAACAACAAAGACAGATCCTTTCTCTTAGGAAATAGCTTCACTTGTCTCAACTGAAGTAAAAAACCTACTACTTCCACCAGGCTGTGGAACTTGAACTAGACTGACTGTACCGTGCTACACATAGTTCCTGTTCTATCTTAGATACTAACTACTAAACCAAAGAGGCTGAAATCATGCAATCCTCTTTACTTAATTAGAAACACACTACTCATATAAACTTACTAAAGACTCCTTAATCTTTGTAATAATAAGCAGGGGGAAAACAACAGTGATGTTCTTTATGTTATTGCGCCTTACAACAGTTTAATGGAGTTAATAATATTGTTCTTTTTAACTAATGGCTTAATGAGGATGATTGTGTGATCCCAATAAATTAGTTCACAACTTCAAATATACAACTCTATATCTGAAAAAAAAAAAGATGCTACATTTGGGGATAAAAAAACCACTATTACATGTTTTTGTGAAGTTTGATTACTTTGTACTAACAGGTGTGTGTGTGTGTGTGTGATTGTGTGTGTGTATGTGTGTGTGTGTGTTGGTCCTGGGACTTAAACTCAGGGCCTCATGCTTTCTTTTAGCTTTTTGTTCAAGGCTGGCACTTTACCACTTGAGCCACAGCTCCAGTTCTGACGTTTTGCTAGGTCATTGGAGATAAGAGTCTCATATTTGTCTCCTTGGGCTGGCTTCAAACCTCAATCCTCAGACCTCAGCCTCCTGAGAAACGAGGGATACAGACATGTGCCACCAGTGCTAGCCGCTTCTGTCCTTGACCATTACTTTCCCACAGAAGTTTGACTTGAAGCAAGTGGAGAAAGTGCCAAGGGCCTGCAGAGCTCTAAACAGACCATTCCACTCACCAGTCTGGAAAAGAACCCAAAGAGAAGCAGGCTTTGATGAGAATGTTCACAAAGACCCGCCTTCTGTTGGACAGCAGAAAGTGCATTGGAGGAGAAAGTGACAAAGAAAATGCCCACCTTATTTCCTCCACGTGACAGACGATGACAGCAGGAGATCAGAGCCCAGAAGCAGACACAGAGGACCCCATCTCTACCTCCCCATCCCAGAGGACACATGCTCCATGCTCCAAGGAGCAGGACAGAGCTGGCTGAGGGGCTTGCAGGTTGCTCATTTGAAACCTGTGGGGCCAGCGAAGAGTGTCAGGACCACAGGATTGTTTCTGACAGTACAGGAAGAAGGGCAAGGCTTGCAGGAGGAGGGAGGAGACATGGAAAAAAACATAGATTCTGAAGGGGGCTGG